CAAGAAAGACAATGAGATGCTCATCCTGCAGATTGGAGGAAATACAGGGTCTCCTGATCCCTCCCACCTGCTGCAGGATGTCTCCAAGGTTTGTCACACAAGCGATTTGACCTGTGGTCTCCCTGGCTACCTCATGGTTTCAGATATTTCTGTGGCCTTATGGCTCTTGAGATGGGCAGGGTTGTGAAGATAGTACCTCACTCCTCACTTGCGTTGTAATGTGTCTTCCAACAGTGCCTCCTTGAGCAGTTTCCCACATGTGTCTGGGTAATGTGGCCCCACGTTATTATTTACCAGCACTACTGTAGGTGTCTTTTCCCTGGGAATGGGCAGAAGTTCTTGAGGATTGGGCTGAGAATAATCCAACTCATTCAAAATCACCTTTTCCTCTAGAAGGCCTGTGCTTGTCGCTTTATCGTGCATATAAGCCAGCATAGACCTTCCCTCACTGGGTTAAGTTCTTTACACCAGTGGTCTTCGAAATTCTGTAAAACTCTGTGTCTTTGTGCATTTGCAAGTTTGCACCTGAGCATGTACAAATAATATATTTTACATTGTTATCATTATGCTTTAAAATCTTTTCCTCAAAATCTCAGACTTGTTGATTTCCCTTATTCAGATCAGACATTGTTTATAAAGTGAGAGAGCAATTTAGTTTTTTCTCCACATTCTCACCAACACTTGTTGTTTCTTGTATTTTTTATTTTAACCATTCTGACAGGTATTAGGTGATAGGTCATTGTGGTTTTGATTTACATTTCCCTGATGATGAGTGACGTTGAGCATCTTTTCATGTGTCAGCCATCTGTATGTTTTCTTCGGACAAATGTCTGTTCATGTCTACTTCCCATTTTTTAATTGGATTATTGATTTTTTTGGTGTTGAGTTGCATGAGTTCTTTATGTATTTTGGATATTAACTCTTTACTGGATATGTCATTTGCAAATATCCTCTCCCACTCAGTACGTTGTTTATTCTGTTTTGTTGATTATTTGTTTGTCTTCTGTGCAGAAGTTTTTTATTTTGATGTAGTCCCAATTGTTTATTTTTGCTTCTGTTTTCCTTGCTTCAGGAGATTTATCTAGAAAAATGTTGCTAGAGTCAATGTCAGAGAAATTACTGCCTGTGTTCTTTTCTAGGGTTTTTATGGTTCCAGGTCTCATGCGTGGGTCCTTAATGCATTTTGAGTTTATTTCTGTGTATGGTAAGAAGGTGGTCCAGTTTCATTCTCTCACAGATAAACTTAGTTCAGTTTTCCCAACACCATTTGTTGAAAAGACTGTTTTCCCCATTGCCTATTCTTGAGTGCCTGGCAATTTACTGGTCTCAGTAGACAATTATTGATTGAATGAAAGAAATAAAGTGTCTGCCTTTGGTTACTGAGTTGCTTTTGACAAGTTTAAAAATGCAAACTTTGAGTAGGTTCAGCATCCCTCTGAACATAATGGTTGGCATTGTGGACTCTTCATCTTGCCTGCTTTTTTTTTTTTTTTTAAGATTTTATTTATTTATTTGACGGATAGAGATCACAAGTAGGCAGAGAGGCACACAGAGAGAGAGAGAGGAGGAAGCAGGCTCCCTGCTGAGCAGAGAGCCCGATGCGGGACTCGATCGCAGCACCCTGAGATCATGACCCGAGCCGAAGGCAGAGGCTTTAACCCACTGAGCCACCCAGGCACCCCAATCTTGCCCGCTTTTTGCAAACCACATTGGCAAACAACGCACAGACTAGGATTCCTGCCCTCACTGAAGTTACATTAGAATCTGGGTGTTGAGGGGCACCTGGGTGGCTCAGTGCGTTAAGCATCTGCCTCTTGATTTCAGCTCAGGTCATGATCTTAGGGTTGAGAGATTGAGCCCTGAGTCGGGCTCCATGCTTAGTGGATAGTCAGCTTGGGATTTTCTCTTTCCCTCTTCCTCTGCCCCTACTCCTGCTCTCTCTCACTCTGTCTCTCTTAAATAATCTTTTTTTTTTTTTTTTAAAGAACCTCAGTGCTGAAATGTATATGGTTAAGTGGCAGATGTCACTCATGTTTCTCTAGTTATATTTCTTTTACACACCTCCTTACAGGTTTTTCAGAATGCCTCTGCAATTGTAGGTATATATGATTATGGAAGCTGGGCCTGCAAAAAACCAAGCAGCTATCGGTGTGGTCTCTGTCAATGTACTTTGAGAACATGTATGTGTGTATATAATTGCTTGCTCCTTTTCTTCCATGGAGCCCTTTGGAGACAGAGCTCAGGGACAATAGGATCTTCAGTGTTTGCTGATAGATCAAGGCCAAGGAATTCAGTTTATAGTGTATAGTGTGTGAAACCTCAGGATGGTAGGAGCACAGCTGCCTGACAGAAGAAAATATTATGTAATTTGAAATAGTTTTGACATGTTGGATTTATATTTATGTCATTTTTCATTGGCTTTTTAAAAAGCCAGATCACTCGAACCATTTCAATATATTGAAAATGTGTATAGTTAAAAAAAATAATTTCTTTCCTGAAGGAAAGCTGTATCTACAATAGTAGCCTTTCAGTTTTTGGTTTTGTGTCAAATTCGACACTATCAACAAGTTCTATGCAAGTGAAAATGCAGACAGAACTTTACTCCCAGCTGTTTATCCCTAAAGATAAGTCTCTTTAGGACAGCACAACTAGGTGTTAGCTCTTAGCTTCCTCTTTAGGGCTGTGTGCTGCTCTGTGAGATCCTGGAGCTAGCCCCTAGCTGAGCCGCAGCGACAGTGGGGAGCATCAGAAACCTGAGCCACGAGCCACGCAGGTACATATCCTGAGCCCAATTGAGGAGGATCTCTGCAGGACATCATTGTGCTTATAATTAATTCAGTGGTTAATGATTCAGTTTTACATTTCAAATTTGCATTTATACCAGTCAAGCAAAAAATCCTCGTGAAACACTAACTTTAGGGCTCCTCACCTCTTTGCCTGGGTTGTTGTCATTGGGTCCTGACTGGTATGTCCACTTCTGTTTTCAGGGAACTTGAACAGTGATTAGAATCACCAGATAAAATACAGAAGATCCTGTTAAATGTGAATTCCAGAGAAGCAAAATGATTTTTTTTTTTTTTTTGTAACTGTTGTTTCCCAAAAGATGTAGTATATTTTGTCCCCAGATATCGTATGGGATCACTATAAGGTATGATGGCATTACTTTTAACAATTTTTTTAAAAGATTTTATTTATTTATTTGACAGAGAGATCACAAGTAGGCAGAGAGGCAGGCAGAGAGAGAGAGAGAGAGAGAGAGAGGGAAGCAGGCTCTCTGCTTGATCCCAAGACCCTGGGATCATGACCTGAGCTGAAGGCAGAGGCTTAACCCACTGAACCACCCAGGTGTCCCTAAATTCATTATTTAAATTGGGTTTGATAACAGTGGAGAGAAAATAAGGTTTGCCACTTTAAGAAAAGTTACATTTGTATTCATAATGTTCCTAACGGGGTCATTACTGTTTTGTACACAATCCTTAAAAGAGGAACTCTTAGTACAATGTATTTTCTTCTTTGCTGGAACAAATGTTAACCTCATACTGTTTGCAAACACTAAAATACTGGATGAGCATTTTATGTGGGAACATGGTGGTAAAAGAAGTTTGCTGGCTTCAAAGTAGTGGCACCTGACATCACAACCAAATGCAGTGTAGGTCCACAGTTCTTTGCTCAAAACCTTTAGGACAGGCTGGTTTCAGGATTCGTGTCCCACCCCCAACCCCTCCCTCCTCACCCCCCCACAGGTTTCAGAAGGTAGAATGTACTCATTCATTACATACACACCAGGCTTTGGGGCAGGGCCCCACACTCCACCATGTGAACACATCTGCAGAGAAAAGTACAGTTGACTCTAGAACAACATGGGTTTGAACTACATGGGTCCATGTATATGTAGATTTTTTTTTTTTTTGATAATTACAGTCCAGTACCATAAATGTATTTTCTCTACCTTATGATTTTTCTTAATAACATTTTCTTTTCTTCAGTTTGATTAATTGTAAAAATACAGTATATAATGCATGTGACATACAAAATGTGTTAATCGACTATTTATGTTATTGGAAAGGCTAAATCAGCAGTAGGCTATTAGTAGTTAAATTTGGGGGTGGGGGGTCAAAAGTTTACATGGAGTTTTCACTGTGCAGGGATTGGCATTCCTAACCCTCATTGGTCTAGGTCAGCTACAGGCCTAGTCACACTTGGTAGGGTAAAGACAACAAATCTACATCCATTCCATTCGAGTTATTCCACAGAAGTGAGCTTTGATGCCAAAGGCTTGGAAAAAACTTGGTTTTCAGAACTTTCAAGTTGTTCTTCTGGCTTAGGGGTATTATTTGTTGTTGCTGGTGGTAACACTGTACACTTCATGGCCAGAGGGCTGTTGGCCGGAGGGCTGTTGGCCGCAGGAAAGGTTCTGTTCCTTCTCAGTTGCAATGCCAGTGTTAGAACAAATGACACATGATTCTGATCAAATGACAATTCAGGGTCATCCAATAAACCAATTATCTAATAGTGAACGATTTCGTCTATAATAATTCAAGCAAAAATACAGAGGAGGGAAAATATCCTTTTCTATTCAATGTTCCAGAACCATGACTAGAAGAATGTGGTCACATCATTAGTTATGCAAAACCAAGATTTTGATCCTATTGCCTCTAGAGTTTGAAATCTTTTAAGTTCTCAAAGGTCAGTGTTTAGGCTCTATAGCAGGGGTCAGCAAACTTTTTCCATATAGAGACAGATAGTAATATTTTACTTATCTTCTCTGTATGTGTGCATATTTTCAGTGCCTCCTCTTCTCCACCACTTCATTCTTTGCCCAGAGAAGACTGCCTGACCTTGAAGCCATCAACATGTTTGGATAAAACTGTCAGAAGAAAATCCTGTTGGCATTTGTCATTTGGATTTATTAAGTGTTTTGGAGGAGTTAGCCTTGATCACATAACCAGTCTTCTCACTCCAGTAGATAGACAATAACCACATTTTTTTCTGGCTCCTAGGAAAACAGCTTCTCAATGAAAAGCCATTCCTTGGAAGAGATTCGCCTCCAGCAGGAGGTGGTCTGAATGAAGATTGTGCTGCCATTGAAGGGTTGGCTGATGTCATAAGCTGCCTTGTAAGTTCTAGATTTTTTTTCCCCTAGGATCCTGTTTGGGTATACCTTATTGGATCTATATCATCTAACTAAACAAAATTTTGATTTTTTGTTTATTTTAAGTTACCTGACAGCCTGGTATTATATCATCATCATCATCATCATCATCATCATCATCATCATCATCAGAAGGTGATTTTTGACTCCTAAGTACTTTATATCCATTCTTCTGGGTAGTCTCTCATCACAACCCCTGGGGATAAGTACTGTTAGGAAACCAAGACTTAGATCAAATGATTTGCCCACAGTCACCCAGGTAGTGTCAGGGTTGAGTTTTTAGTCTAGGTCTTGCAGACTCAGCCCCTGTATTTCTGAGTATTATAGAGTGTGATCTCATAAATATATATAATTTTTTGCCTGAGAAGAGGAAAGTCGTCTTGGTTATGCCTTGATGTTTGTGTAGATGACCCCCCTACCATGAGAAATATTTTAAAAAGTTGTTTTTCCATATAGTATACTGGGTGCCATTCTTTTTGTCAGAAGGTTGGTGACATGGACGTTTTCTTTTTTAGGGATATTGGCTCCTTTTAGCATAATCTTCTGGTAGGTGGTTGTTGCATTTTTCAAATGTGGTTTTTAAAAAATTAGCTTGAATTTTGTCATAAAGATGCTATTCCTAAGGGAGTGTTAAAACCCTTGTGACATTTTTCCATTTAAGTAATTACAACAGTTTTAGTAAGGTTTGAACCTTCCTTAACATGCGTGAGAAACAGTGAAGAAATAAAAAATTGCTAATTTAACACCTATGGTATGACTCACAATCTTTTCTCAATTAACTTTTGATGAAAGTCGTCACATTTCTTGTTCCTTATGTTTTCTGTATCTAGAGAAGCAATATCAGTACTGATCACTTTAAGCACATCGAAGTCTTTGGAGTCAGTATTTTATCATTAGTGTATGGGCTAAAGACTATTTTCCTCATTATAAGAATGAAGCCTGACTATACCTAGAAAAGCAATAAACATCCCTTTGGAGACTTTCTCCTAAGAGAGGAGGTAAGAGCCTGTATCATAAAGGTAATGCAGGAATAAATAACCTGTTGGAGAAAGTGATGAAAGAGAAAGAAAGAGCATCTATGCTCCTTTTGTATTTGACACAAAATACAGGGAATTCCAGGTATTAAAACCAACACAGAGTATTTTCTACCCAAGTCTCCTTCTGCAGAGGCAACTATTTTAAGCTCTGCTGCTAATTTCTATTCTTGATGTATCAGTTCTGGGCAATACGTACTAACTAGCTCTAAAGAATGGAAAGAATTCTCATGGAAACTTCTATCTAAATTACCATCTTTTGCCTCCTGGTATTTTTTACCCCCTTAATATGTTCAGTTCTACAGGTTGCCTTTAATGACTGGATAATATAGATGTTCTCTATTTTCTGACTGATGTATAGATGTGTCTGTTGACTCGTAGCTATGAAAGTTGAGGAAATTAGCATATGTATCCACTGTTCTACTCTTTTCCTCCCACTTTTCCTTAGTTATGTTTTTATTTTTATATTGCCATAGTTTATAGCATTCATATTTATCACATGCTTCCTTGTCTTCTAGCAGCTTTATCAGGTCCTGGGTACTCTGAGGATAAAGTTCTCAATCATATTATTTACAAATTCTCTACCATAAATAAAATCCTTAACCACATGGCCCATCGTATCTCCCTAGCCTAATCTGCAGTTCAGGGTTCTCACTGTTTTTATTACACTATGACCTTTTATCTTGCCAGGACCTTGCATACTGATTAACTCTAACTCTGGAATTCCAACTGCTTTCCTTTCTGGCAAATTCTTCTCCTACTTCAAGACCCAGATCCATGTACCCTTGGACAGAAGCCTTCTGGACTCCCAGTTTCTTAGGTATTCAACTCCATGGACTCCCGCCGTCCTCTTCCTACCTCCATAATAGCATTTGCCTATAAACTATGATTTCAGGTTTATGTATCTGTGTCCTGTCCTTGCAGGTAAACATTAGATTGGGCATTTCATTTCTTCGTCCCTAGCATTCAGTGTCATGTGTCCACCCTGAATGAGTGAATGGATAAATGGATTAAGAAAGAGTCTTAACAAATATCAAACAATACACTTGGGGTTTTCTTTTTTCCCTAAATCAGTTTTACTAAGCAAAATTTTCAGTGGTTCCTTCCTGGTCTTTTTTACATTTTTCTTTACTTTAAATACCTTATTTACCTCCTCAAGGTGGGAGTAATGGAAGGAGAAAATAATTTCTGCTGATTGCTGGTAAATACTCACCTTTGCTGCATTGAGCTCAAAAGTGAGGAAGAAAAAGAGAAACTTATACACCAAAACATCACTTTTATCAGTATATACTATTTTAGAAATTCAAATGACAGAATAAAGAGAGGGTGAAATTATTCAGAAAGGATATTTATTTATTTTCCAAGCCACTAGTATTTTATTTACCTATTTATTTATTTGTATTTTTAAAAATTTTAATCCCAGTGTAGTTAATATACAGTTACGTTAGTTTCAGGTGTAAAATGTGATTCAACAATTCTATACATTACTTGGTACTCATCTTGGTAACTGTACTCTTTTTTTTTTTAAGATTTTATTTATTTATTTGAGAGAGGGAGAGAGAGAGAGAGAGAGGGAGCATGAGAAGGGGGAAGGTCAGAGGGAGAAGCAGACTCCCTGTTGAGCAGGGAGCCTGATGTGGGACTCGATTCTGGGACTCCAGGATCATGACCTGAGCTGAAGGCAGTCGCTTAATCAACTGAGCCACCCAGGCACCCCTGGTAACCATCTCTTTGTTCTCAATAACTAAGAGTCTGTTTCGGGGTTTGTCTCTTTTTTAAAATTTGTTCATTTGCTTTATTTCTTAAATTCCACATATGAGTGAAATCATACAGTATTTGTCTTTCTTTGACTGGCTTATTTCACTTAGCGTTATACCCTCTAGATCTGTCTATGTTGGAAATGGCAAGATCTCATCCTTTTTTATGGCTGGGGAAAAATATATCTATATCTGTATCTGTATCTATATGTGTGTATGTATGTATGTATGTATCTATCTCTCTATATCTTCTTTATCCATTCATCTATCTATGGACACTTGGGCTGCTTCCATAATTTGGCTATTGTAAATAATGCTGCAATTAACATAGGGGTGCCTATATCCATTCAAATTAGTGTTTTTGCATTCTTTGGGTAAATACCCAGTAGTGGAATTACTGGAACATATGGTAATGCTATGTTTCATTTTTTGAGGAACCTCCATACTGGTTTTTTTTTTTTTTTTTACAATGGCTGCACCATTTTGCTTTCCCAACAGCAGTACAGGAGTGTTTCTTTTTCTCCACATCTTCACCAATACTTTTTGTTTCTTATATTTTTTTATTTTAACAATTCTAACAGGTATGAGATGACATCTCAGCTTGATTTTGATTTGAATTTCCCTGATGATTAGTGATGTTGAGCATCTTTTCATCAGTCTGTTGGCCATCTGTATGCCTTCTTCAGAGAAATGTTTGTTCATGTTTTCTGCCCATTTTTAAATTGGATTATTTATTTTTTTGGTATAAGTCTTTATGTATTTTGGGTACTAACCCCTTAGTGGCACGTCGTTTGCAAATATCCTCTTCCATTTAGTAGATTATCTTGTTTTGTTTTGTTGGTGGTTTCCTTTGCTGTGCAGAAGCTTTTTATTCTGATGTAGTCCTAATAGTTTATTTTGTGTGTGCTTTTGTTTTCCTTGCCTCAGGAGACGTATCTAGAAAAATCTTGCTATGGCTGATGTCAGAGAAATTACTGCCTGTGTTCTCCTCTAAGATGTTCATGTTTTCAGGCCTCATGTGTAGGTCCTTAATGCGTTTTGAGTTTATTTTTATTTTTGAGTTTATAAGAAAGTGGTCCTGTTTCATTCTTTTGCATGTAGCTCTCCAGTTTTCCCAGCACCCTTTGTTGAAGAGATGATCTTTTCCTCATTATGTATTTATTCCTCCTTTGTTGAAGGTTAATTGATCATTATAATCATGGTTTGTTTCTGGGCTCTGTGCTTTTTTGTTGATCTATGTGTCTTATTACTGTGCTAGTACCACACTGTTTTGATTACTACAGCTTTGTAGTAGATATCAAAATCTGGGATGATGATATCTCCAGTTATGTTCTTCTTTTTCAAGATTCCTCTGGGTATTTGGGGTCTTTTGTGGTTTCATACAAATTTTAGGATTTTTTTTTCTAGTTCTGTGAAGAATGCGGTTCATGTTTTATTAGGGATTGTATTAAATCTGTAGATTGCTCTAGTTAGTATGGACATTTTAACTATGTTCTTCTAAGCCATGAGCATGGAATGTCTCTCCATTTCTTTGTGTCTTCTTCAATTTCTTTCATCAGTGTTTTATCGTTTTCAGAGTACAGGTCTTTCACCTCCTCGGCTAAGTGTGTTCCTAGGTATTTTATTATTTTTGGTGCAACTGTAAATGGGATTGTTTTCTTAATTTCTCTTTCTGCTACTCCACTATTAGTTTATAGAAATGCAATGGATTTCTGTATATTGATTTTGTAACCTGCAACCTTACTGAATTCCTTTATCAGTTCTTGTAGTTTTTTGGTGGAGTCTTTAGAGTTTTCTTTTCTTTCTTTTTAAAAAAAAATTTTTTTTAAAGATATTTATTTATTTATATGACAGAGAGAGATCACAAGCAGTCAGAGAGGCAGGCAGAGAGAGAGGAAGGGAAGCAGGCTCCCCGCTGAGCAGAGAGCCCGATGCGGGGCTCGATGCAGGGCTCGATCCCAGGACCCTGAGATCATGACCTGAGTCGAAGGCAGAGGCTTTAACCCACTGAGCCACCCAGGCACCCCTTTAGGGTTTTCTATATAGAGTATCATGTCATCTGCGAATAGTGAAAGTTTTGTCTCTTCTTTACCAATCTGG